AGGCCCGATTCCTCATCCCCCTGCCTATTGCAACTTGGGAGCAGGTTAGGGAAGCTTTGGGAGTTGGCAAGGAGTTTCTAATCAACTCCTGGAGGACAGACTCCTGGGGGAAAAATGATAATTTTTAAAAGGGACTATCACAAAATTAAAGATATGACAACATTTCTGTGCATGGAAGAGCTGAATGGATTCTCCATGCCTGAGATGACACATACATGGAACCTTGGTGGTGCAGTAGTTAGAATGCAGTATTGCAGGATAGCTCTGCCCATAGACAGGAGTGCGATCTTGACCAGCTCAAGATTAAATAACATTTAAAATGTAGTATTTTTTATCCAGATTCTATGCCAGTCTGCAAGTATGCAGGGAGTACAGGAAGAGGGGAAGCCCAATGAACTCTGTAGTGTTTCAAGTGTGTCCTCGTGGGCTAAATAAACTTCAAGAAGCAATCAGGGCTACAGAATCATTGCTTTAAAACACTTTCTCTCCCCCCCCCCCTTTTTTTTTTACCCCAAATCCAGGTGAATGGAATTGGGACAAGTGGATTGGAAGGGATGAAGGGATGTGGCAGCAGGAGGAAGATCACCAGCCACACTGCGAGGACCCTGACTTTGTGGTAGGTTGACTTCTGAACGATTCTAGCTGTGTATGGCAGAGGAAGGGAAGCTGCTGTCTTCTGGCCCCTTTGCGGTACAGCCAGAGCCGCTTAGGGCCAGCAGGTAATGCCAGAGATTTGGAAGACAAACATTAAATCTAAGGACAGCCCGTCTACAGGCGGCTTTATTTATTTATTGAGCGTACGGCCTGTGTTAGCCAGGGATCACCGAGGGCTCGCTGCCTCTCTGGTAGGAATTTTTTCAGCTGGTATTATCTTTACCCGCAGGACGCCTGAATCCCGATTGCGGGAGGCTCCTTTCTTTTCCCTATGCGATTTATTCGCCCACGGGAATCGAGCTGCTGAGCCGCCGGCCTAAGTGGTGCACAGACCCAGCATCTTACCACATCCGCCATCGCGGCCCCAACTACAGGCAGTATAACCATGTATACCTCAAAGGATTAAAAATAACAAAAACTGAGGAGTATGATTAAATAAGGAATCAGAAATGATTGAATCTCTGGGTTTGGCTTGATTTTTTCCTTAGTCTTTTACAGAGTCTACAGACTTTCCTGCTAAATTCTTTTTGTGCAGTACTTGTTCCTCTGTGAGGGCTGCAAACCTCAAAAGAAAAAGAATTGTGTAAGGACCTGCCTCAGCTGCTCCTGAGGAAAGCATGACGACTCTTGAAACAAGAGTTATCGAAAGGAACTTTTACTGAGAAAGTGATTGCAGAGAATGCAACTCCGATAGCCTCCCCCTCCTCCTCCACGGGAATTACAGTGTCCCGGAGGAGGAGCTGACATGCTGCCCTTCCAAAAGAAAGAGGGCTTATAACTGCAGTACATAATACAATAAACAGGAGAGAAAAACAACATTTAGCCTCATTTAAGCTTATCAGGGTATTGGTTGTGAAACTTTGATTCATTTAAGGGGGTCTAATGTGGCGTTGATTACCCATTTGTTTTGGGTGGTGGGAAAATCTCCACGCCACCAGGTATTGAAGGGTCCTTCAATCTAAAATTTCCTTCAATCAACTTCAAAATGTTGTTCACCTTCCACCATAAATGGTTTGGGAACGGGGGAAAGACTGGCCTTGGGGGAGAGGACATCTCGGGTTTCAACAGATTACGATGAAAAATGGGGTGAACCTTGTGAAGGGACTTGGGCAGGTCCAATTCTATTGTATTCTACTGTAACCAGGTTAATGATGCCATACAAACGTAGGTTTCAACTTCTTAGAAAGTTGCAGTGACTGCAGGCAGCGTGTGGAAAAGCAAAGCCGATCCCCTACGTTACACTTCTTTGGCTCTGTTTTCTTCTCTGCTTGACATTTGTAAGCCTCTACCGGCTTCAGTAAGTGCCTTACTGACTGGCCAGATGTTTTGTAACGGACTGATCCAATCCCTTAGTGAGGGGATCACAGGATCCTTGGTGGGCATAGGTTTGAAATCCTGACTGGTTGTAACTCGGAACTCGGAAAGGGGTGAAACTGCTATGACTTGTTATAAGCCACATCTGCAAATGGTAAAAGGTCGGTCCAGGTGTCTTGTTGATAGTTGATGAAACATTTAAGGTACTGTTCCAGAATTGAGTTCGCTCATTCACAGCCCCCATTCATTTCCAATTGGTGACTAGAACTGCTGTATTTTTCAGTCTATAAGACGCACTCTCCCCCAAAAGTGGGTGGAAATGTCTGTGTCTCTTATAGAGCGAATGTTGCTGAAGGCCTGCTAGCCCCCACCCTTCAGCTTCTGCCTCGTGTTTTCTCCTGTTTTCTCTTTGCAGAGGCATATACAGGGCAACTGGACACATAGCTCTCAATGTCTTTTTTGAGGGAGGGCCACCAGAATGGTCTTTTTATTAAATGTAAAGTTTTTACAAATCCAAAATGTTGTGCCGCTTTTGAATCATGGCATGCCTGCATAATCAAGAGCTTTCACGTACCGTTTTGCTCTCACCCAAGCTAGTCCATCGTGGATGGAGCAGATATTGTTTTGGTTGCAAAACCACTCATCACCTGTTAGTGCCTTTTTTAGGGCAGAAGCCACAGCGCTGCTAACTTTTCTCTCTGCTGCATTCTGGTGATTACTTGGGCTGCCAGTTGACGAGGTGGGAGCATTGCTTTGATTATTTCTGCTTTGGAGCAATGGTATTGTGGCATCCACAATGGCCAGGAAACACCCCCCCCTCCCCCTCCAGGGCGGTAGCACAAGGTGAAATCAAACCACCGGAAGTGTTGCACCCAGCGTCCTTGCTTAGGAGAAAGCCTACGAGGGGCCTGCAGCGCTTCCAGGTTTTTGTAATCCATATCTGGAAAGGGATTTTACTCCCTTCTACGAAGGGCCACGAGGAGAGGAGGGACCATCTCACGGCATAAGCATCCTCCTCCCATACGGCCTAGTGTTGCTCGGTTTCTTTGAAGTGTAAGCACACGGTTGTAACCGTTCTCACTTTCTTGCATTAACACTGCCCCCATGGCGACATCACTGGCGTCAGTTTGTATGACGAAGTGGTTGCCAGGGTCTGGGTGTTCCAGCACCGTCTCAGAGGCGAAAAGCCGCATTTCCACATGCACCTTGACATTCCATCAGCCACTTTAAAGGATGGCTGGGTTTGGGTTTGTCTCCTCTTTCCGTTTTTAGCACATTTGTGGTGGGAAGGGCTTTGGTCTCGGTATAGATTAAAATGTCATCTAAGTACATCAGCACCCCTTTACAAAGATGTCCAGGCAGTACCTCATTAATGAGTTGCATGAAGACGATGGGGACTCCTTGTACTCCAAAGGGAAGCGCTTTAAATTGGAAACAATTTAGCAGGCAGTTGAAATCAGTTTTCCACTCATTCCCCCCCCCCTCTAATCTTAATGTGGTAATACGCTTCTCGCAAATCCAGCTTAGTAAAAAAATTCCCTGTAGCCAAATGGGCTAATGTGGCCTCCATCAGAGGAAGGGGATACGTGTTTTCTACACATATAGTCGATGCAAAGAGCCCCATCTGTTTCCCCTGGAATGGGACTGAGGCTGCCAGTGGTCACCAGTTGGATAAATCCACGAATTAGGTTTTTATCAATGAATAAGTTCCTCCAATTCTCTAGGGGTGATTGACTAGAGTTTCGGTTTTGGTAGCTTGTCCCCAGCATGATTTCAATGGCATAATCTGTGGGCCGGTGGGGGTGGATGGGTTCATAGCAATTCATCCCCAGGACGCAGTGACCTTGGTAACAGATTAGAACTGGCTGGGAGAAAGTCTGACGTGTCTTCGAGATAGTCCCCCTCCCCAAATCCCACGCAGTCACCGCGAAAGCCAAAGCATGCAGGGATTGCAACCCTGATAGCTTCTCCCCTCCCCTCCCCCAGCATGGCAGCGTCCCAGAGGAGGACCTGATACGTTGTCTGCTCAATGCAAAGAAGAGCAGTCTAGGTTCTCTATGGTAAAGAGTCAAGGGGTCAACTTGATGTTGGGTAAAATGCTGGAGGTGGGTGGATGGATGAGAGTTACAAAATATGGACACTTGGATTCTTGAGTCTGAGAAGTGAGTTGGTGTCTTGCCTTGTGTGAATCCTGGCGGAAGGGGGCTCTGCTTCCAACTTGGCACTTACGGCTTTGAGACTGAATCCGTGTTTCTCACCCCTGCTGTCCTCTGCACACGTCTACAGATGGATGCAAATTATGACCCCTCCCAGCAACCAACCCATTCAAAAAGGAAAAAGCAGCTGGAGGTTCCTCTTCTGGGAAAGAAGAAGAGCAGGTCACCGTTTGCAGAAGCCGTCTCGCAGGGGAAGAAGCCATTTGATCCTGGTAAGAATTTGGGGAGGAAGCTTTCTGTGAGTCATTGGCAAGGCTTCTGAAGATTGATTTAAAATTATACATTTTTATGAGTTATTGGTGTGAGCTGTGGTCGTCCATGCAGTATTGCAGGCTGCTTCTGCTGACTGAGGATTGCCAGCAGTTTGGCTGTTCGAATCTTACCGGCTCAAGGTTGACTCTACTTTCCAGGTTGGTAAATGAGGTTGGTAAAATGAGGACCCAGATTGTTGGGGCCAATATGCTGACTCTGTAAACCCCTTGGAGAGGGCCGTAAAGCACTGTGAAGTGGTATATATGTCTAAATGCTGTTGCTATTAGTTAAGTGCCTCTCACAGGTTGATGTCTTTATTCCAACCAAGCAAAGTGGCATAGAAATATGAAGGTCTTTGAGTTCCCTATAAATATTCACTAAGCTAGGTAATACAAAAACCAGAAGGGGGGGGGGGAGAAGCAGATTCATCCAAATATTAGAATTATGGAGGTTTGGGGGTTATGTGTTGTAAATGATCTAAAGAAGATGGGACTAGAGAAGAATGATGGGCAGAATCTGAAAGAGTAACATCTCCTGACTTCCATTCATTCTCTTGAATTCTGCAGAAACAAAGACATTTGAACAATATTTGGACGAGTTCTACCACTTGGAATATGAGGACCTGATAGGGGACCTTCCTTGTCGTTTCAAGTACCGCACAGTTGTTCCCTGCAACTACGGACTGTCAACTGAGGAGGTGAGCCTTTCCTATAGTAGAAAATAAGAACGTTTTCTTCACAGCATAGGAAAGGATCAGAATGGGTGCATTATTCTGTACGACGAAAGACATTAAAAACCCCCAACGGTCTTTCTGTGTTTAGATTTTGGCTGCTGATGATAAAGAATTGAATCGCTGGTGTTCTCTACGGAAGACCTGCATGTACAGGTGAGGGGCAGCAACATAAAGTGGGAAGGTGCTACTTATAACATGGCTGGAGTCCGGAACCTGGCATGGAGATCACGGCCTGGGCTTTGAGCCCAGTTGGACATGGTGAAAGTTGCAACTTAACCTCCAGAATTTCTTGGCTCTCCCCCCCCCCACCCAAAAGGACTAGAACAGAATAAAACAATAGGGTTGGAAGTGACTTTGGAGGTCATCTAGTCCAACCCCCTTCTCAAGCAGGAAACCTTGTACCATTTCTGGCAAGTGGCTGTTTAGTCTCTTCTTAAAAGCCTCCAGTGATGGAGCAGCTACAAATTCTGAAGGCAGCTTCTGTTCCACTGGTTAATTGTTCCCACTATTAGGAAATTTCTCCTTAGTTAACTATTTAATATTACTTTTTTTACTATTTTTATTATTTTTATATTACTATTGTATTATATATTATATTATTGCAATATTTTGCATTGTAATGTTATATTTATTATAACATAATTATATTTATTATATTATAATAAATATTACTACTTTATAGTATTATTATTTCTATTTAATTAGCTACTAGTTTAAATAGTCAATTAACTACTTGTAGTTAATGGGCAGAGAAGCTTAATAATCAGCAAGTATTCGGTGGGGGGGGGGAAGAAGCAAGGTCACAGAATAAGACATGGTAGAACCAAAATTGGACAAAGAAATACTTTTAGAACTCTATCTTGTCTTGAAAGCCTGGTGACGTCCTATTGCTATCCAATAACATGGAATATAGCAAGGGTGTTTAATGGGGTTATAAAAAATGAAATCTTGTAATGATAAGGTCTGATTTTTATTAAGCGTGAAAATATGCATTCCAGTATTTTCCTTCCATAAGATAAGAGCAAAGTATAAACCAGTTATTCATTTCCACTTAAAAGAGAAAGCCCCCTATTTCATGCCATTTTCCTCTCCCATCCTAAACCAGAGACTAAATGGTGCTGGGATGGTTCAGGAGAAGACGGATTTGCATGTTTTCTGAACAGATCAGAAAAAGAAGAGTTGCAGGAGAAGGCAGTCTATGAGAAGAAAAGCCAAGATGCTTGGAAGAAGAAACGCGTTCTCAAATCTTTCCAAACAGGGTACGTCTTCTGGAGCCTGGGCTGTAGCGAGTCCAGCCTAAAAAGTACTTCTTTTCCCTATAATATTAACTGCAGTAATTCAGAAAGTTCAGATTTAGAAAGCAACATCGAGTAAAATGAAAGGAATTACATTTACCCAGAGAGGGATATTCTTCCTACATTAAAACAAAATGAAATTGCCACCATGCTCTCTAGCCTTTTTCCAGCCACCAAGGGAGCCTTTCTCTCTTTTAAATCATTATTCCCCTTTGTATAGTTGCCATTTGCTTTCACTTAATGTGCCTGAAAATTTTGACCCTTGAGGGGAAAGGAATCTTTTTTCCTTTCTTTAGAACTTTAATTTTGATGTTGGGCTGATGAGGGTCTTTGATGTTGAGATGAGGTTTTACTTGTTCTGCTGCCTTGAGAGTAGATTTGTTGTTCTGTGTGCTCGTGGGATCCCAAGGATCTGATTTTGCCATATGATCTTTTTGCAGAATGGAAGAAGAAAAAGAAGGAGAGCAATTTCAGCCCAAGAAGAAAAAGAAGAGCAAGGAGACCAAGTGTTTTGGGAACTCTTCAAAAGAAACACAGCTGGTTAGTGCCAGCTGTGAGGAGGAAGGACGCTTGTTTCCCAAGACCACAACAGATTCTGTTACAGGGGAAGAACTTGACGCTCCTGCCTCCGATGGCTCTCCTTCTCTGCCCCCCAGAATCCAAAGATCAAAAAAGAGGGGCAGAAGGGGGTTGGTGTTGGGCACTAAGATACGAATGAAAGGCTCAGCGTTCAGTTGCCAGAGGCTCCAAGCCTACGGCCTCAATCCCAAGGCCTTGCGCTATCGCCAGCTGCTTCGTGAGAAGAGGCGGAAGAAGCAATAGGGGGGGAGGGGCAGTCATATTTGGCCCATCAAGGGACCAAGCAGTCTCATCTACTTTGATTTCAGAGTTCAGCCTCCTTTTCCTGGTGTGGAATCTCCCACTCATTAATAGTGGCTTTAAAATCTACCACTTTTATTTTTGGGAAATTGATATTTTAATGCATTTGTTGCCTTTATATTTTGTATCAACTTTGAGCCAGGAATCCTTTGCAGTAGCTAATCCTGTATTATTCCTTTTGATCACTTCCACTTGCATACTAGGAGGGCCACTGCTTGTAAATTACCTTATTCATAACTGTGACTAAATATTAAAAACAATATTGGGGAGATTGTGAAATGAAAATTGACCTCCATCTTTATTGCCCTAAATACCTTTCAGTTGTATGACAATATTTAAAGACTAAAGCTGGTAGCTAGCTATCAGAATCACCACAATGTATTTTAATACCGTATTTTTTGGAGTATAAGACACCCTCCCCCCAAAGTGGATGAAAGTTTGGGTGCACCTTATACACCAAATGTAGCCAAAAACACGAAGCACAGAGCAGGCTACCGCCTGTGGCAATCCCTGCAGCCTGGTACAGCTGATTGGGGAAATTCCGGGAGGCTGATTCAACCTGCCAATCAGCTGCTCATGATGAATCAGGCTGCAGTAATGTGCTGAAGCTGACCTGACTGTTTGCTATTTGCCTGCAAGGACGTGTCAAGAGTTTGCAGCAGCAATCACATTCAGAAAGCAAACACAAATAACTATTTCAGCAGGATTCAATAAATTCTCTTTATATATAACACATTAAGTAAATATACACTACCAAAAGCTGGTTTTCCAATGTGGTAGTTCAGCAGAGAAGTTTCACTTTCAGTTTTTGTTTCAAAGCATGCAGCTTTAGTGCAGAACAAGCCATGCCCAGGCTCCTTGCTGTCTCCTTCCTTGTCGTTCACAGCAAATACTGTTAGTTTTCAAACAGCCCTCAACTCTCTCACACACTGACAGGACGCTAGCCAGATAAATACCATGGATGCTGGAAGGTAGAGGCAGAATTTTTTTTCTTATTTTCCTCCCTAATAATTAAGGTGCGTCTTATACTCCTAAAAATGTGGTATTTTGATTACATTGACACATGGTGTTAGAAGAGCCATTTAGGTTTCAGGTCCCTTTTGCTCAGTGCAGGAACCCAAATCCCTGAGAGCTTGTTGAAAAATACCTTGTTTTCAAATATGTCCAATACGAAAGGAATCTTCCACTTCTCTGGATAACTGGTTTCATTGCTCCAAATTTTATTGAAAACGAACTGCAGAGTAAAGTGTGTTATCCAAGTGACCCAAGGATGCCCCAAGCCCAAGTAGGCTCATGTCAGCACATATCCCAACATTTAGAGGTTTTGCTTCTCCAGCAGACTGTTTAAGTCTACTTTGAGTAGAGAGAGAACTGGTGAAGCTGCCCGACTGCTACATCAGGGATGTCGCACATATGATAAGAACAAAATAGTCTGCTTTATGGTAAACACTGGGACCAATTATTGTCTTAAGTCTGAATCATTCTTGATTTACATCCCTGAGTTCACGGATGAAACAGGGAAAGGAGATAGGTCTGCAAGGAAACTGGATTAAGCAAGTGTTTCTGAGGAATTCCAGAAAGCAATGGAAAGGAAGAATTACTGTTATGAAGAATTCTACCAATTCCATGGTAACATGCCATAGAAATGATTTCATATTTATAGTATAAAATGTTACAGCAAGAAGTGTGGAGAGAAGTAGTAGTACAGGGAGTTCTTCTGTCCCTCGCTGGAGCAGCCTCTCCCGATGAGCTGCAAAGAGGAGCCTGCCACCCCCGAAATCCCAGGGACCAGGCAATCGGGGTGCCGGGGGAGATAATCCTGAGAGATGCCCTCCAAACGACAATCTAGCTCTTCACCCCTCCAGTGGCAATGAAAAAACGGCTCCTTTACAATCAGCAGCTAAGGTAATTTAAAATATCCAATTAGTTAACTTTAATAGTACAAGCAGGAGCCAAAAAACAACACCACAGTCTGCTTGGACCAAAGACTGAAGGAAAACTGGGAGCCAAAGAGAAGAAAGAGGTGTGGCTAAGAAATTCCTTCAGTCTCTGGACCAATCAGGCTGTGTTGATACCCACGCGTAGCCCCTCCCAGGTCACACACAGGAATATAAGCCCTTCAGTTCTTTATTTATGTTATGACAGTTTTGTTTATTCAAGCCAACAAAGATATTAGCAGCCACTCCGTTTTATACTTCTCTTGTTTTCCCCAATTCAGTTGCTCAACGAATGGCTCTTTGAAGAAATCCTCAGCCTTTAAACTGAAATCCACACAGGGTCTTCCCTCCATTTGCACCAGAGTGCAACTTAAAAAGAGACCACACTCTTCTCTTCCTTTTCTTCCTTCCTTTTAAGGGCCTACAAGTCCAGAGCTGACGAAGAGGAAGCTCTTGTTTTCAGGCTGGTGCTCAGTGTCAGCAGGAAAGACAGAAGTTAACAAACAGTCGCCTTCATAATCCTCATCTGACTGTTTCTACTCAGAAAAGGTCAAGGCTGTCAGTGCTAAATGCCCTTTTTTCTCATTCAGTAGCTTCGTTCCAGTGTCATGACTTCCTGTTAGCAGCCTAAGGAAAGGTGAGAATAGGTCCACATGTGGGCTGAGGGGACCCAAGGTAATTTTTCTTCCAGGGTCTCCTCCCATAAGGAACAGCTGAGGTACCATAGAAGGGCAGAGAAGCAAAGGCTTTTATCTCCTATTTCTTTTCTGGACTTAAGAAACGCAGCTCTATTTCAAGCCTACACCCTCTACATAAATAAAAAAAGGAGGCCTGAGGTGGTGGGACTGGCTAACCAGCAATCACAAGACGACAAATTCCTCCGCCGAGGGCTTGTGTATTCTGTGCCGTTGGACTTGTACGGGTCGCTGGGCAAAGTGGGCAGACATCTCCTCCAAACCATATTCCTGAGCGCAGCCCTCCACAACCGAGAACATGGGGTATTTTTCTTTGGCAGCTGCATAGTTTAGGATCTGCAGTGGGAATGAAGAATAATGAACTGGCTCAATCCATTTGCTTGCTATAAAATTCAGACAAGTAGGCCTTAATTTTTATGAGGCCTGGATTTTGCTCCCTTTCTGCCTGGAGGAGCAGTCCTTTTATAATGGCTGGTAAGAATTACACAGAACCCCCAATCTACGATGGAAGCTTCTAGTTTTCTAGGTCTGATCTTAAGAGCTTAAACACAGTGGGCAAAATGCTAGTACTTTCCTTTAAAACACAAGCCTCTTTTTAAAAACCTCTCATCCCAGGTTTCCACAGTTTCAAATTCTGCAAATAAACACTTTGTATTTGTTTTCTGTCAAAGTCTCTCTTTAATCCAGAGTTAACACACTGTAATTCAGAAAATAACTTGCAAGTGAACCAAGAAAAATATAATTCCTCACCCGAGTTAAATCCAAGCAGAGATGTTCAAATTCCATTCTGTCCCGCACGTAGAACCCGATAGTACAGCTGGGATCCAACTTTGTGAATGATGTTTTTCGAGGGTAGTTACAATGGAAAGTCTGGAAAAGAGTTAACAACATTAAGTTTCTCCAATTTTTTAGACTGCCGGTCTCTAGAATCAACCTTCAAATGAAGTCTTAGATCATTCCGCCAGCGGCTACTGGACACAAGAGTTGGCACCCCATGCCTCTGCCTTCTGCCCGTGCTCCCGGAGTGGTCGCAGTTGCTGCAAGCGATTGGTGAGCATGTCGAAAGCGAAAAGAGGGATTTTCCTGCCATCCTTGCACTGCGGAAGGCGGCGAAACGTAGAGAGGCTCTTTCTCCCTTCCAAATAACACCGGCTTGACTTGCTACTGAAAGGCCTCCCAGCTCTTTCCTGAAAGGAGGGTGACTCTTCTCTACCTTTTGCTGCCTTCCGCAGGGCAAGGGATGGTGGACGAGTCCCACTTTTTGCTTTTGACATGCTTGCAGCCCCTGGCACAAGTGACTGCCTGCGCTTCTTCTGCTGGCCTCGCGGGGGCTCATCGCCTTTCTGGCAGTGCTGCTCTCAGCCACCCTGCTGGGCTGCTCCTGATCCATGACCTCTGGGATGCCCCCCCTGCTGCTGGGCTGCCAGGGCCCCTTCACCAGACATTGCCAGTGGAGCCCTGCCACCTGCACTGTCTCGCCCACCACCTTCAGGCTGCTGAGCGCTGGTAGGTATGTCTACTCAGCCCTGGAGGGGCTGGGCTATGCGCTAGGAGTTGAGCCCAGTGCTCTTTGGGCCCTGATGGGTGCTACAGTTCTCTTGCCGGCTGTTCGAATGGGCTTCCCATTCTTTCCTTCCACCCAGCCCATCCGGAGGGCCGCCGCCGTGAGGTGAGGCAGGTGGCGGGAGAGTGTTGCTCCTCCCTGTGCCTGCCAGACACTTGCTGAAAACAGGCAGGGGAGGGTTGCTCTACCCGTCCTATGGGGTGCGTGAGGAGCTCCAGCGGGAGGTACTGGAAGCTGCTGGATAGCAGCTGGGGATTGGGGGCCGGGCGGAAGGCAAGGCGGCAGCAGAGCAGCCACCGGTGAGGTAGAGGCCGAAGGCAGCCAGGGGCAGCCCCACTGGGGATTCACAATTCTGGTTTGAGAGGTAAAATATCTTGCTATTTTATTATTAATATGTGAAAAATGCATATATTATAAAAATGTTAAATATATTTTCCTACAATTATGGCAAATTCTAGGATCATCTGGTCATTTTCTAATAATTTCTACTTTCTCAACCATTTCTTTCCTGTTAGTAATTATTAAGTTCAGTGTTAAGTTCGTTCATCTTTTGGCCAATTAAATTATCTGAAAGGAATGTCAAGAACAAGTTGGATCTCGCATTGGATGTTCAATTTGAGTCCCATTTTTCAGTAAAATCTCCCGTTAGCATACTGGTATGTTTCCTGGATACTTGGTCATCTGAAAAGATTCTATCTAGATTTTCTGCTTGGTTGAGTGGCCTGTATGTTTCTTTCCCAAATAATATTCACCCAGGTGCTTTCAATCAGGTTTCACCTTAGTATCATGATGTCAATCCTGAAGTTGGAAGGTAAAGGCAGATAATTTGCTCAAGCAAGTTCATGACAAGTACCCCCATAAGCCAAAGGGACTACCAGGGGGGGGGGGGGGGGAAGAGGATAAGGCCCTCCCCAACTAACTTCTCTGTGATCTTGTTCTTTCTTACAGAAACTTTCTTCAATTGAAGGGGAGCAGCCTGTAAACCCTGAAGTTGACCGAACTGTGGCCATTTTCCTTTTGCAGTTTGCTCTAGGGAGTTTCTTTTCTCACTGCTTCTGGGCCGACACAGCCTGAAGTGAAGAGTGTGTG